GGGGGTGAGCAGGGCTCAGGGGTGGGATGTGGATGGAGATCCAATGTCCACCGTCCCACTGGGCAGCTGGACAGACTCCTGGGGGTTATCAACCCTCCTGGCACAAGCAAATCTGAAAGGGCTTCCTCTAAGTGGGCTTTATTCCTTGACTTCCACCTCAAGGAGCCCCAGAGGCCACTGGATCCAGCTGCCTGGAGGAGACAGACACTTGGATTGATGTGAATGCGTTGGCAGTTCAGCAGTTATTTTGAAACAGTTGTGATTCGTGTGAAATGAACTCCAAGAGCTTGGTCTTTGCTTCTAACAGAGTTGGGATAGTGCATGGAAATGCTCAAAACCTGCCTGGATGTGTTCCTGTGTGATCTGCTCCAGGTGATCCTGCAGGAGGTTGGACTAGATGATCTCCAAAGGTCCCTTCCAACCCCACCACTCTAGGAATCTGAGTGGAGCCCTGGCAGACCTGCAGCACATGCAGAAAAACTTGAGAGCCTTGAGGAAGCCTGGGAGCCCCACAAGCCTTGCCAGGACCCCCCCAGCTCCCCACATCACTATTTCTGAACATTGTCCTGTCTTCTTCTCACAGGTTCTTCGGGATAGAGAGGTCTCAGTTCTGAGATGAGCCCCTGAGCAGCAAAGAGCCCTCTCTTGGGTGGTACGTGGAGTGTGACCAGGGCATCACAGCACCCCTGGAGGACAAACCTTCACTCCCAGTGCCATAATACACTTTTTCCACCCATGTTGCTTCAGTCCATCATCTGGGCCACCAGCTGAGGAGATGGCACAGAGCAACGACCTCCAGGCAAGCCTTGAGGAAGTTTTCAATATTCTATCCCAGATGCCACATGATAAACTCCTTTCCTTCAAGGATAAACTCCTTCACCTTGAAGATAAAGTGAAGGATTTGAAACCTGAGCTCTACACAAAGTTCCTGCAAGTCGTGGTCCAGCTCACGCTGGGGCAAGAAGTGGAAGCAAGAATTTGTTTGGATTCCTTGAGAGATAACTGGGCAGCCCAGGGTGTCCACCAGAGCAAACTGGGCACTGTGGGAGTGCTGGAAGTGGAAGCCATGGCACTTCTGAACCACATCCATGCTGTGTTGTTCCAAGAAGAGCTGCACAGTGAGGACACCCTGGGGGAAGCCACCACAGCCTGTCACCCCACCAGGGAAACTTGGGGGGACACACTCAACAGTGTCCCAGCTGAGGACCAGGAAGAACATGACTCTGATACCAGCAAGGACCCAGATGAAAAATTCCAGACACTGAGATCTGATGTGGACATAGGGCTTCACCAGAAGCCCAGC